CTAATGCAAACAAATAAAAAACTCTTAATCGGTATATTATCATACGAGTTTAAAATATTAATTATATATTAAAAATCAAATAATTTTTATTATTATTAATATAGGAGAAAGATCATAACGAATATTATTTAGTTCCTGTTAAAGATGCCAGCTGAAACTTTTTCAAAATAATTTCGTCATATCCCTTACTATGTTTTTAATATAGTTTTGGCTAATTTCAGGGTTTCGTCATACCTCTCACTATGTTTTAATATAGTTTCAGCTGTTTATTAATTGCCTTTTTTGAGTTTTGTCTCTCATCTTTAGTTCCTGTAGAACTTTTAGAAAAACTAAATAGACAAAACAGAGTTATTTGAAAGAATCAACTAAAACACAATAAAAATTTGACAAAATTATGAAAGTTTTCTCAAAGTTATAACGTGAAGATAGCTTATTGTCTGCTTTTTTTATGTAAATAATATATTTTAAAACTACATAATGTTTTTATATTATTTAATAATTTTATGACATACGACTTTTTAATTAATTGAAAGGTATCATTGCGATTACTAAAGATATATAAAAGATAACTTTACATCCTATTGCAGAATTATTTAAAAAACATCTTGAAGATTATATTGAAAAGTATTCTAAGAGATATATTAAAGATATTGGAAAACACCGTTGCGATTCTTATTTTTATTCAGAATTTATGACTATTGTAAGTAATCAAATTATTATGTCATTTATTTACTAATATTCAATATTTACATATAGGCTTTGTATTAGTTCTCGAAAAAATGTGTCACCGTTGAAGTGCTATTGACAAGGATATTCAGTTAGCACTTTTTAAAGTATATCCAGAAGTTCCTAAAATAAAGGCAAATGCAGGTATAAAAATTGCTGAATGGAAACGAAACCCAAGAGTTGCTGAAGTATATACCAAATTGGGAAAGATTGATGATATTGGTCTTATAACAATCAATATGATTATCGCAATGGCTATGCTTAAAGAAGAAAAGGAGATATATTTTAAGCCTTCGATAATAGCATTTACGCTCGCAGTTTGTAGTATTATCTTAAATCCACAAAGTAAAGATATCCAATGTATGAAGAAGCTATCAAGAAATGATATTCAATTTTCTTAGTGAGTATTAAATTTCATAATCGTGTTGGTTATCATTATGTCTTTAATAAAGTTTTATTATTAGAAACGATTAAACATGCAACTAATTCCAGTTGAAGATGATATTATGGGTATCAATAATAATTTAAAAGATAATAGATCATCAATAAATTATAATAATATTGTTGAGGAAGAAATTTTAGAGGAAGCCTGTTCTAAATTCGAAGATGCTAGATTATTTGAATGAATACAATACTAAAAGATAATTATAAAATTTTTGAACAATTTTTCTAATTTTTATTTTTTTTTTATAATAATATCACTAATTGCTTGTAATATTATTGAAAAATACCTTAGCATAAGCAATAACACCTTAAATTTTTATAGATACGATCTTATAACTTATGTGCTAATAACTTGCAAAACATTGAAATATATTTATCAATTTATTATGTAAATGCATTTATAAAATCATTAAACTTAATGCATATACCTGATATTGCTTGTATTGCATAATTACTTGAAAATGGAAATTTGTGAAGAATATAATGTTTGTTAGTAATCGAAGAATTTGCAAATATTTAATTAAATTTGTAAATAATTAAATGTAAAACTTTCTAAAAATAATGATATTCTCATTTTTTTGTGCTCACAAATCTTCAGATAGGTAGAACCCAGTTATTTTTGCATATAATCATCTTATTCGATCTTCTGATGTATGTTAAGATATATATATTAGAAATTAGGTATAAGCTGATATTATATAAACATTCAAACAAGTAATGATATCTAATATAATCTTCAAAGGTATTAGAAATTATTAATCAGCTATTTGTACAATATAAGGTATAAATTTCTAAGTATTAATTCAGTTATACTTCTAACTCTAAAACTATGCTTTACTAAATACTTATCAGAAAATATTTTATTTAAAGTATGTAAAAACCATTTCTTATTAACTAATAAATCATCATAATAATAAAACAGATATTCTAATTATTTTTTAGGTTGATTGAAGGTCAAACTTTAATATAATTAAATAAAATAGAAACTAAACAAATCGTGTTAAAGGTTAGATGAATAATTAAAATATCTGAAAATGCTAAATTTCTGATTTTAGCTAACGGTATATAAATAAGAATACAAGAAGGTTATGTATTTGAATATATAGATATATAACTAATATACAAGGTATTATTGTTTTTAAGTGTTGATGAAGGGATTAATTTGCTTAAATGAGCATAATCATAGAAGCTATCACTTGAAATAATAAAGCTTAAAGATATTTTAGTATTTGTAAGTATTAATAACTTTTAAATACTACTTGGTAATTATTTTTGATTTCTTTGTTAGCTTATATATATAATTTCTTTAAATGAACTTCAGTATTTTAATAACTATAGGATTAAATCGTACAGATTTCCAATTCATATTCATTTATCAATAATGCTGAGAGAAGAATAAAAAGAATAAAGAGTTGATAGATTTACTAATTTATGTATATAATTAATATATTCTAATAAATAATCAATACTTATAAACTAAATAGAATTATTATTAATCTATTTATTCTCAAGAACAAGTTTCTGATAGCATTTAAAAATACTTAAATAAGCTTTGTTGATTTTGTTAGTTTAGTATAAAAAATATTAACATTTGCAATTCTTTCATTTTCTAAACTTAAAATAAGTTTAAAATCATCAATGATATTATCTAATGTAGATATAAAGAAATAAAATAATAAAGCATATGATAAATATAATATAATATATATTATAAATTAGTATATAAAAATAAAAATAAAAAAACCTATTATAATTTGATTATATTAGAAGATATAAAGAAATATTAAGTGATAAATAATAGTTAATAAAATATTTATTAAATATTGCTTCAACACCAATATTAAATACATTTATATAAAACTTTTGAATATAATATTGCAGTTAAAAAGATTCTTCAAATAAATAAATTTCATTTTAAGATGATATTGCATCTATTTACCAAAAAATATCAGATCACAACTTTTTGCTTAAATTCACATATCTGTTAACATTATGCAATTGATTTTGTAAGTTAAGAAAAGATTGAATTCTAGATAAAACTTAATACAGTCATACCTCTCTATAGCGAATTTTTATATAACGAATTTTTTGGACAACTATATTAAATTTACCCTCGTTATAACGAACTAGCCAATCAAATTCTTTAAAAAATTCACTATAGCTCTATAGCGAAGTTAAAGTTCAGGACATAAAATTCATTATATCAAGGGTTGACTGTATAACCAAAATAAATTACCAATTAATGATCTATTTGTTCTATTATAAGCAAATCTCTTTTTATACATTTTTGCAAATAATCAAGAAATTCATTTTTTTTCTGTTGATTATTTCTTTACTATCAATTTTAAATTCATAAAAAATAAGGTTACTAAATCTTCAACCTTTGAAAATTTTATAGGAATATTTATATTATTAAATATTAATAAATAATTCTCGATCTTTTTTATCAGTTAGATTTAAGATGATAAAAAAGTCATCAATATAATGAATAATAGCAGGAATACTATTATTATATTATATGAAATCTATGCAATTATATTGGCAAATCTACAGAATATTTTATTTAAAGATTTTAATCTAAATACAAGTACTTTATCAAAATATAATGTATTATTGTAAACCATTCCTTATAAAAGTTAATAAACTGGATGAGCTGATAATATCCTATAAACATCTTTAATGTCAACTTATATAAGTAATGTTCCTTTTCAATATATTGTATCCATTTAATAGAATGTTTTAAAATATCAAATGAAATTTAAAATTTATGCTTATCTATAACATTATTAATTCTAGGATCATGTGAAGTAGAATAATGTGTTATTATTCTATATTCTAAAGGCTTTGTATGACATTTTTTAACAAGGCTTAAAGGATTAACTATAAAGAGTTTTACTAGAAGATGTGCAAGTGAAAAAGAACTTGTGATATATCCTAATTAAAACTATTTATTAATAAAGTTAGATAAATAGTCAGGAGATAATTCTAAAAAGGATAAGTTATTCATAATACTATGTTATTAATTTTTTGTAAATTCAAGTCTGAAACTATATTTCATTCCTTTAGTAAAATATGTGATAAGAGTCTGATTATTTGTATATTCTTGAAATTTATTAAAGTCTATTATAGAAATTGAATTAAACTTAACAGGTTGTAGCAATGATAAATGTTCTAATTTCTGAACTGTAAGTAGATAATTAGGTAGTGGTAATGAGCTTAAAGATAATACCATAGAATGATTTTCTGGTGGTCCAAGTTCAGTAAAATTATGAGATTGATATTGGAGTGCAGAAAATTAGAAGTAAGCTGAGCATTATTAATCCAAATTAAGTTATTATGTCTTGATCTATAATATTTAGCATGATGCGATGAAGTCGTATCAAATATTAGCTGGTATGAGAAGTTATAATTTAGAATAGTCATTGGAATCCTTTAAAGTGAAGCTGTAAGATGGTTTGTTAGATCTATTGGCTTGGTTTTAATACATATTGATTCTTCATGTGAACAGAATCTGCAAAGCAAGCAGACATGTTGAAATTTGCATGCATCCATTTTACATCCATCTTTTCTATTAAATTCTTTGCAGATTGGGATTCCTTCATGATTAATTGCTTTTGAAGGAGAAGATCTAAAATTTGAAAATCTATTATAAGTATTTGTTTGTTTAGGAGTATATTGAATTTTGCAGCTACAACTATAAAGTGTCTTCCTTCGGGATGGTCTTGTAAATTGATAGCATTGTATTTTACCAGTTTTATATGGTCCACGCTTCTTTTTTTCAAATTCATTATTTATATTCTAAATATAATAAACCCTAACATCATTAATTTCTATTGAATTTCTTCTTCATTTTCTAAAATAATCTCAGCCTCCCATCCGCTATCATAATCATCACCCCATCCTTCTTCTATATCAGCAACATTTACTAATTCAACATCACTACTAATATCTTCACCATCTTTTCATTATTTATTTGTTTTTTCAATCCAAATCTTCCATTAGATATTCGAGACTGTTGTTTGTAAAGTTTTTTTTTGTTTCTTTACTCATGGAATACTTAATTTAGTTAAAATAATTAAAAACGAAACTGAATAACTAAACTAATTTAGAATCAAATCATCGATAACAAAAAAAAGAAAAAATTTTTTTTTTATCGTGATGAACGAAATCACATGATTTTTCGCATGAAATAAGGATCGCTTATTGGTCGGATAATGTTAGATCATTCCGAATTTGTTGCATTATTAATAAAACCTCTGTTTTAAAGGTTAATAACTCGGTCAAAAATTATTCTATTTAAAATATAAACCGATAGATCGAAAGAGCATATCCTAGTCTATTACTTTATCGGTTTTAATTTAAAAATTATACAAATTGAGGAAAAAATTGTAAATTACCTTAATTATTAGACGAAAGTTAATTGGCGCAGTAAGTGATCTGCATATCGTTCCAATCTTACTGTTCCGTTTCAATTCATTGGACTTTTGTCGTCCAATTCCAATTTTCCCAACTTTTCTTTATTACCAAATTCTGTTTTCCCGAAATATACTTCAAATCTTCAGAATCATAATCCCAAAACTCAGGTTCAAGTGTATCAATGTCAAATGTTGTAAAAACATTTTCGATTGTTACATGTTCATCTACAGATTTCAAAATTATGAGTTTATCATTTTTACTTAATTTATAAAAATCAAGCTTGTACTCAGCGAACATATCACATGCTATAAAATAAAAGGCGGGTCAGATATTTAAAAAAAAATACTCCTAATCAGGGAAATTTACCGAAATAAATTTGATTAATAAAAACTATAGATTCAATATAGACTGTAATATATTAGATGTAAAAGTATTGAATTTTCTTATTTATGATGACGACGACGAAATATTAAATTGGTTTAATAATTAATACCATTTCATATTTACTTTTTTTAATAAAATCTATTAAAAAGTTTAATGATTTATTATACTATTTTGGAGGGGCGCCGTTCAAAATCCTGAAGATCAAAATCCCAATCCCGAATATCATAAATTTAAAATTATAATATAATAATAGTTTGCTAATTGCAATATTCGATTTGTATCGCACGATATTATTAATATTTTTATTTATGATTTAGCAATTTTAATCCATTTTTATCGATGGTCGGCAAAAAATATCTTAAAAAGTAGTCAAGATAAAGATTTTTTGCTAACTTTTAAAAGAAAAATTTAAAAATCTCGTTAAAATCATGATAGAACTCTTTAAAATATACTTATTATTTTTAATATTAAAAAAAAAATAATATTCAGGATTATGGTTATTCGGGATTATGATCGTACCAAATCCATTTTGGAGATTGATAAATAGAAGTAACGAGATTGCTAGGTTTTTTTTTATTTTGATTATTTTTTGTCTTTTCTATCGCATAATAGCATCTATTAAATGGTAGATAAAACAAACAAGCTCTTCATTTTTTTTATGTCAAACTTCAGGCCGTAATAAGGTCATTTATTTCTCTTTTGGATTAGATATTTTAGAATTTTTTTTTTCTTTTTTTTTTGGACTCGTGATGTTTTTATTTTCCTTAAAGAGTTCGATCTTTTTAAAAGAAACTAGAAAAAATAAATTTTTTTTTTATTTTTTAGGTTCGACCGCAGTAATTTTTTTTTATTTATTTTCCCCTTTTTGATTCGATCACTTCATAGTAAATGGCAGTTTAATTATGAATTAATTTATCATTTGATTTCTTAAGGTTCCTTTTCCAGATTGATCGCATCAATCTTCTGTGTTAAATATTGTTCTCTTTTACACGATTGTATCACTGTACAATAATTGTTACACTGTTACAACATAATAACTGGTGGCTAAGAAACTTGATCAACGTTACATGACCAATTGCATTTTTTTTTTGCTTGCTTGCTTTTCTTTATCATTTCGTTATAAATAAAATTAAAAATGCAAGTTACCAATGATTCAAATGAGTGGATTAATCTGATTGAAGAATATATTTCAAGCAAAAATGTCAAGTACTACGAGTACGACCATTTTAGCAATTCTCAAAAGATCGGTACTGGCAGTTATGGAAAAGTCTATCGTGCAAATTGGAAAACTTTAATAAAACCTTTTGCGTTAAAAACATTTCATGAATTTAACAATGCCACCGTTAAAGAAATAATTCGTGAGGTAATTACAAATGTATAGTGTTTGTCGGTACCTATTTCAGTCTGTTTAGTATGAAATTATTTATATATCAAGCTAAAATTTATACTTGTAATATTTAGCTCGAACTTCAACGAGAAGTTGATTTTCATGATAATATTATTCGCATTTATGGGATAACTTCAAAACAAAGTACGTATTGTTCATAATAAAGTTTATTAAAAATATATGTTTTATTTTTATTTTTAATTTATTTTTAACTCATTTATATATTATTTAAAAAAATAAAAAAATTAGAAAATAATAATGTGCATTTGAAAAAATATTGGTTAGTCATGGAATATGCCGATGGCGGTGCACTTAAAAACTATTTGAAGGTTAACTTTGATAAGCATTCTTGGAATGATAAATACAAATTTGCTTTTCAGTTGGCTAGTGCTGTGTCGTGTTTACATGAAGAAGGCATTGTGCATCGTGACTTGGTAATATTGCATAATATATATTCTTATGATTTGATGTTAATAATTAATAATGTAATTTATATACAATACAATATAGCATTCCGGCAATGTATTAATTCATCAAGGTATGATTAAACTTGCCGATTTTGGATTTTCGAAAAGGATTGATGTGGCAACTAGTCAGTCAAAAGTCTTTGGTATAATTCCTTATATTGATCCAAAAAGATTTGGCGAACTAAAGGGATGTGACAGTACATTGCAACAAGATTTGTCAACTGTAAAAAGTGACGTTTATAGTGTTGGTGTTCTCTTATGGGAGTTATCTAGTGGTTGTCCTCCCTTTAATTTTGAAAACTACGACATTAAACTAGCTATCAAAATATCACAAGGACTCAGAGAAAGTATCATTCCTGGTACACCTGTAGATTTTATAAATATTTATACTGGTAAATATATTTTTAAAATTTAATTAAAATAGAATTTACTCAATATTAAAATTTTTTATATGATTTTAGAATGCTGGGATGATGAGCCAGACAAACGTCCAGCTATGAACAAAGTAGTTGATGAATTAAATGCAATTATTAAAAAAATAAATATAATAGAAAATGAAAAATCAAACCTTCAATTACCAGAACAACCTCCTTATACTACAGAAACATCTCAAATCATTAATTTTATAAATGGAGTAGAAAAATTCGAGTCGAATAATGAAAAATCAGACGATTATATGATTATTAGTTTAAAAATTACAGAACTTAATAAGGATGAAATATTAAACACCTTAGGAGAATTACAAAAATATCGAAAATTACAAGTTCTCGACTGTAATAATATTCAGATTACCAGCTTGCCAACTTTACCAAACTCTTTGACGGAACTCTATTGCAATGATACTAAAATAACCAGCTTACCAAATTTACCCGATTCCTTAACAATACTCAGTTGTTACAATACTCAAATAACAACCTTACCAAATCTACCCGATTCCTTAACAAAACTCAGTTGCTCTAATACTCAAATAACAAGTTTACCAAATTTACCCAATTCCTTAAATATGCTCTATTGCAATAATACTCAAATGACCAGCTTACCAAATTTACCCGATTCCTTAACAAAACTCGATTGCTCTGATACTCAAATAATAAGCTTACCAAATTTACCCAGTTTCTTAACAGTACTCAGTTGCTCTAATACCCAAATAAAAAGCTTACCAAATTTACCCGATTCCTTAATAATTATTAATCCTGAATATTTAAAAACTAAATACTCTTCTAAGTTTAAAAATTTTAATTTAAAAATTTATTGAAAACACGTATATAAATGCTTCAATCTAGCAAAAATTTATAAATAATTTGTATTGCATAATTTGAATATTTCAATAAAAGTTCTAGTATCCATAAGTTCAGAGTGGAGTTATCAATTGAATGATTGATATTGTGTTAAATATAATATATAAAATGTACATATTTCTTCGGAAAGTCCTTTACTCTACTCTTTCTTATGCTCTTAATAATGTTTGCTACATTACCGCATTCTAATCCTCTCATGAGTTTCCAATGTGAGAATTTAGTTTAGGGAAAGCTTATCCGCTGTATTAGTATGTATGAAGAAACAAAAGATTTATTTTCCTAAAAAAATATTTTTCTGTTAAGTTAAAGTCAGCTTATGTAATTTGAAAATTAAAGTATATTTATGAGATTTATGAGCCTTTATATTGTACAATGGAGTACCTGAACGATATTTTTCGACGTGACCATTATGACTATATATATAACTATTAGTACATTGGTTTTCTATAAGGAAAACAGGTTCCTACAATTCGGGAATAACTGTTAAAGAAAGCAGCATAAATAGCACAATGATGAGTAGGAATTAGTTGATCCTCGCCACGATGTATAGAATCAGGATATAATACAACAGCATTTGTGTTGAAACGGCAAGAGCACATATTTTCCTATTGGAATGCAACAATGCATGATTTTTGGTTTCATTAGGTATTGAACCCTTTGGTTAAATTTACTAACAAATTTGGATAGTATTAGGACAAAATACTAAATCTTACGAGAGTCACAACCATGCTCTTTAGCTAAAAGACATGCATGTGCCTTGAAATCATTACGCGTAATTTTTTCATCAATATCATTCATAGGGAAAGCCTTTATGCGATTTAGGTTTGTTTAGTGTTTGGATCAAACAGTTATTGAAGATTCAGCTTGAAAAGTTTCTCTACAAATTCAGAATTACTAGTTCGCACACAAGAATCTGATTTTGATACACATTTAAGCCTTAATTTTGCCGAATTTTTTACATCAACAGCTATTTGAACTACAGGTGATACTGAAAAATTTCATAACCTACAAATTATAAGCAGTCTCTGAAGTAGTAATGGTATCAGATTTGAGCAAATATTGATCTATACCAACGAGTTCAACAATGTTACCAGCCGGACAATTGAACAATACGACCCAACATGAGTATTATACGTTGAATCGATTTGATGAACAGATCATCCTTTTTACCGGGTTGATAGGATGCAAATTTTAAGGCCTGTTCTAACGGTAACCAAAAGCATAGAAAAGGACTTACCAGATGATGGTGGCAAGAAGAGTATCACAGTCGCGAATACCGATAGCACATTCATCATTAGCAGGTCCTTCGTACAACCATTCCGAACGATTTTTTGAGCAATAACAGGTAATGGAAGATGCTTTCTGTCATTACCAGTAAAGCTTCTAATAATGATATAAATTTTTGCATTATCACTTTAAGTTTTTTTTCCTTCTATGCTTTTTCATCACTTTTTAAGGTAATCTTCAACTTTTAAATCGTCATCATAGCTTAATTCTTTCTTAAAGTTCATTTTATGCATGTTGGAAATGCGGTTCATCTAGTATATAACGATAAAATTTAGGATGGATGTGTATTAGTATTAGAAAGTGTTAATGATAAAACCAACAATAAAATAAACATGGCGAAAAATTTTTTAACATGATGTAGCGAATCTTATCTACTGAGAAATTCACCAATTATTCATTTTTACATTCAAAAGATATTATTAATCAGAGAATCGATTAACACTTCCTTTTTTGTCTAACCAATACATAAATAAAAAACCCTTAATGTATTATCTTAGCATATTTTTAAATAGATTTATGAATAAAAAAGTCAAAAAGAACAATGTATAGATCTTGAGGATAACAAAGAACATTTAACTCCTCAAAAGAAAAAAAGAAAAGGATTTTATTATCGGATTTTTCTACTATCGCTATTAAACAAATTAATTATTCATAAATATTAGTTACTTGTCCAATATATTAATCATCTAGCTTGCAATATGTAAAACGAGTCGGGAATGCCAAATTAAATGAAATCTATTGTCGCGAGTATTTCAAATACGCAGTTCTCCAATTGAGCATGCATTAAAATTAAAAATATAATATTATAATTCTATAAAATAATTTTAAAACCGCGAAGATATTATTATATCCGCAAATTGATCAAGATTTTATTTAATTCTTGTGCAGGAGATAGTAGCATACCAAAGAATAGATAGAATTAGATTTTATTTAGCAATTTAAGCTAAACGGGGTCCATACCGAAAGTAGACTAGGAGACCAGTTTTATTTTTTAATTTTGATTGCGTAATTGCATTTTAGAATTTGTAGCAAAAGTATCATCAAAAAATTTTATTTTTCATCAAATTTTACATTTTATAAAAATTAATTTAATATCTAATCTTTATGTTCTTCAAGAGATGTTAACTCTAATATATTAAGAATTTATTGGAATTCATCTTTTATTCGTGTAGCAATTTAGCTGTAGATTGTCATATTTTCCAGTTTTATTTATTCAATTATTCTTACACCATTTACGCAAATATATCGTACTTATTCCTACTAGAGGATCAATTTATATGTATTTATAACTATACTAAAAATTTACTTATTAATAGTAATATCAATATACAATTTATAAACATAATTTGTTTGAATTCCGAAATTGGTTCCTTTGAATAAAATATAAAATACTCTCAGGAATAAATTTAACTTGTTGTTCTGGAATGAAGTCTATAATTTTCTAAATTTATTCTTCACATTAGAAATTCTTTTTATGAATTCTTGTAAATATAATTAATAAGTACATATAATTTAAAAAATAGCCTAATGCATATATAATTTTTGACCTTATTTTTTATTCAAGATCAAAATAAAAAGGTTTATATTTATTAATGCAAAGAAAGCAAATTAATATATCTTATAAATAATTTAAATAATTACAAAATTAATTCTCGATGCAATGTTACATTACTTATGGCAGTGAATGCTTCTACAATTCGACTCACAGCTGATATCACTATAGAAAATAATAAATTTCTTTCCAAATAACTTTGTGGGGCAAATAATATTTTCTATCATGTCATGAACAAAAAATTTCACTGCGCCACAAATTCGATTTTTGAGAATTTTAGAAATAATAAGATTTTCTTAATTATTTATAATGAAGAATATTTCTTTGTATACAACAGATCAAAATTTTCATTTAAGATAAAAAAGAAAATGAAATTTTAAAAAAATGATTTTAAACATTATGGTAATTTTATATTTATGGATAATAAAGTTAAAATATTAAATTTCGAATATGTATAATTATGAAAATGGCAGAGGATAAAATAGGTTAGACGGCCAATCATTTCATTTCATTTTATTCATCTGAGAAATTTTTTATTAGTTTCATTTTGTTTCAATTTTTTTATTTTTTGCGGCAGCAGCGATCGAATAATTTTTTTGAATTTATTATTAATCAAAAAAATTATTTTTTATTCTTTCGACTTGGATCATTTCAGTATTCGGTTCGTGTTTTTACTTTATAGATTCCTTAGGTTAAGTCTTTTTTTTTTGTTTTTCGGTTTTTTATTTATTGATTGCGTGTTTTACTTGATAAAATAAATGAATTGTTGAAGAAATTTTCTACTGTAACAGCGGTACAATTATGCTATTTTAATGATAGGCGGGCTTATTAAAAAAAATATTACTTATTTTCGATGATTAATTTGGTTTTGCCATAGGATGACTATTTCAGTACGTCGGCTGAGATATCAGTATTTTTTATAGAATGTTCTTAAATTCGGTTTCTTTTGTCAATGTTTTAATCTCTCTTAATAAACTAATAGTTTTATTATACGGATCACGCTCCATAAAATATAGAAATAACACCACCAAATACAAATAACGAATTTTTTGAAATGTTTGCTGAATTTAAAGGATGATGTATTTAAGTTAAATATAATTTAATCTTTTTTTTTTGATATTAAAGCTTATCGCACAGTAATTCGTATTATAATATAGATTTTACTTTTAGTAAGTAGAACCTTTTCATTATATATTCATTTTTTATGATTATATAACAATAATTTTTATTTATTAAATTTTACAATAATGACGATAATTAATCTTCTCATATAGATCTGTAAGGGAAGGTACATATTCAATTCCTCTTTAGAAAAGCTGACCCTTACTAAAGAACTACATTCATGAGTATTTATATCGACCCCTTCCTGAATCTCTTTCTTGAAGCGACGAATATGATCAATTGATCATGCATGTGACAAACATTAATAATATTCAGTAGCCTGCTTTTAAATGAATATCATTTTGTCAATTCTTTTCGTTAAGTTCTTAATAAATAATGGACAAATAAATCTTTACAGTCTTTTTTATTTCAAAAAAATATAATTTTGAAAGATAATAAATAAATCGGATTAAATTTATTAAACCAATTTTTTTTTATTGGATTTGCAAATCACGTACCGATTTTCCGAATACTGTGACACAAATTTGGAGTAACTATAACATTTGCATTCTATTGTCCCCTTTAATTTAAAACAAAAAAAAATACCTCCCTCTCAATTCTATTTTATTCAATCATGGAGTCTTATCTCGATAAAGACGTCATCGAACAAATAAAAGATTTTATCCCTAATAAATTGACTTCAGATCAAAAATCATTAATTGATAAATTGATACCAAATGAAGAATTAAGGAGGGATTATAGACTTAATGGATTATGTAAAGACTGTGGTCAAATCTATAGAGCTTATGGTTGGTGTCAACCTTGTGATTCGAACTGTTTAAAACAAAAATTTGGCAATTGGACTAACAGTAATAAAGAGATTGATGAATTTATACAAGAATTTCAATTAAAAGCAACACGTTTTCAAGAAATATTAAAATGGATCCCTTATTATAACAAATTCAAAAATGTTGAATTCCTTGCGGAAGGAGGTTTTGGTATAGTGTATAAAGCATATAAGGATGATGGAAATATTGTCAATTGGAACCATAAAACAAATGAT